TGCAAAAGAGTAGCGTGTTTTGGAAGAGAAACCTTTCCGCTGTGTCCTGCTGCTGGAACCGTACACAGAAATGTCTAGGACATTTCACTGGAAATACAGCCCTGTGCTCAGGAGAGTGGGCAAGAGGTTCCCAGAAGGAGGACACTACATAAGCAAAGAGATGGCCACAAGCGTCCATGCGGAAACTACAGCAAAAACAAAAGTCTTTCTGCCCGTGAGCTCAGTCCCTCCGCCCCTCCACGCCCAGCCACTTCCTGCTGCTTGCTCTACAGCCACAGCGGAGAGGCTCTCCAGTGCAGGCAGCTCTGGGGTGCCTGTCAACCAAATCCAGAGCCACCAAAACACATTGCTCCTTCTGATCTCACCTTTGCAATCTGATGCAGCAATTCCGCTGCAATTGATCATTACTCTGTGTAACACTGTTTGAGTGGTCAGTTCGTCAAGTTCTTTTAACATGCAAGTATACTCCGGTGGTCTGAATGAGACCACTGGTTTCCCTGGCCTCCAAAAAGCTGAGAAAAAGAAAAGCGTCAGCCATGTGACCCTGGGCCAGTCACTTGACCTCTTTTACATATTCAAGATGGGGCTGAATTTCTATGCCTTGCTGCTAGGCGGCTCTGAACCACTGATGGTACATTCGTGATGGTCCCATATAGTACCAGTGGTGGGAGAAGCCACCCAGCGTAACAGTCATGTACCCCTGGTGGTTCAAGCCAGTGGGAATATGTTAAACTTTAGCATTTTCATTCACTGGGGGGAGAATGTAATACCTCCTCCATTTGTTTAAAAGGGTGGTTATGAAGATCAAGTGAAAATAATGAATGTAAAACAGTTACATGAACTCTAAGGCAATACAGGACGGGTGACAAATCAGAGTGAAAGTGATCTTGATAGAGCTTCCTGTTGTCACAGTATGTCCTGGAGGGACTAATCTGGGAAGCTCCATTACAAAAACTCAGCTACACAACCTTATGGAAAGAGATTTAATGGAATGCTTCTTGTGGAGCCAACGCCATGATTGCTACGCATAACAACATAATTTCTGTCTTCCGGAAGCTGGGATGGCGAAGGATGTAGACACAGATGACTAACAGGTAGGCCAGAATAAAGTGTACCCCATGTGAGTCATGCAGGTCCAAATTGCATAGGAACCCAAAAGAGCATCAGTCATAGGATGGCTCAGGACTGCTTCCTACGGGAAGTAGAGTTTGAAGTGAACACATGATATGGCCAGGTAGAGTGGGAAGGAAATGTAGGCTAATCTGGCAGCATCAGAGAAAAGAACATCACAGGAGAGAGCAGAATAGAAAAATTCTACCTGCAAACTCAGTCACCAGGCTCCTAACACTGGAAGGCTCCCAGCTTTCCTTGTAGTGGAAGAAAGAAGCATGTGGCATTGTCCTGTCAACGCTAAGAGGTGGGACTTCCTATTTCAATCCTTGTTGCTAAACCAGCATTTGCAGCTGACCACATTCTCAGAAACGGGCCAAGGTCAGGTGCACAGGGAAGATTGTGGGGCCAGCCTAACTGCTCGGGGATCCAAGGGAAATGCCAGCCACTCAGAGAGCATGCAAGACCTGGCTGGAGCGCCTGTGCAAGAGTGACTGCATGCTTTATCTGCACAGACACTTTCTTGGCTCAGAGAGTTGTTTTGGAACTGAAACTATTCACTGTGGCTCCATTTGGAACTGTGGACCTTGGCTTTCTGCAAAGTCCAGGCCTGGCTGTGTCCTAAGCCACTGGGTCAGCTGTAGAGGTAGCAGCAGGGAAGGAAGCAAAGTGACAACCCCAGGAGGGAGTAGATGAGGTCTGGGAGGAGACACCAGCTGCGGGATTATTTGGATGAATCGGTCCAGCAGGAGCAACACACACACACACACACACATACACACACGCACGTGCATGGCCTATTGTTTTAGTTTTTAATTACTGGCTTACAATTCCCTCATCTTTTCTCTCATAATGTTTTTCAGTTTATGAATAACTTTCCACTGGAAATACTGTACTTCAGTGGGTGAAGCAACCATCTCATTAGAGAAAGAGAGAGACAGAGCACACTCAACAGCAGATGGAGGAGTCTGGTCTGCTTTGCCAGTCGGAATGTAAACGCTGATGAAAACGTCAGCATCTTCATTGTGTTTTTAAAAACAAAATCTAGGAAGAATTCGAAACTAACCTTCAGTGGGGAATAATAAGAGCTGTTTTTACAGGCACAATAAAGGGGGGAAGATTTCTTCCAGCAGAAAAGCCTCCTTTTGTGCAAAGGATCATTTGCTGGGAAGAGGGGGATGTGTGTGTCTACATTTTTAGGGATCTTTCCACTCTAGTACAGAATAATTTCCCTCTGACCTCTTCCCATGTAAATTCACTTAAGGGGCTCTCTTTTGAAGTTACAATAAGGGCCAGGGATATAGCTCAGTGGCACGGCGCCTGCCTGTCAAGTGCAAGGTCCTGAGTTCGATTCCTGGTACCAAAATAACAAAAGAAGGTAAATGAAATTATAATAAATCAAAAGTACAAAAACTACTATTGATTCCTTGGGCCTGGAATGGTCTTTCTTAAAGAGGTGATTTTGCTCATCTTCTTGGCTCAGACAGATACCCTGCCTGGAAATGACAGGAGAAATCCATTTTGATTGTAAAGTCCCCCAGCAAGGGCGTTGCTGCGGCCTTTCTCCAGGGCCCCCGTCTTTGCCCTGTGTGCATCCTTTCTGAGCTCGCCTTTCATCAGGCACAGGGACGCTCCCTGGCTCGTCTTCGCAGGCACCTCCTTCTGTGGACCAGACCACAGCTTGCAGCTTCTCCCAGAATCCTGATTCTCCACAGCAGTTCCCTGAGGCCACAGACAAATGCTGCAGGAAAGAAGTCAATGGACCCATCTGGCCCATCCCAGACAAGCCCTTCTCCTCCCAGATTCCAGCTGCCTGAGCCGCTCTGTGAGCCGTTTAAAGAACCCAGACAATCGCTCCAAGCCTCAGAAAGTCATGGTTCCAGGACCCCATCCACTGGTTTGCAGATTCTGGCTCAGGAAGTGGCCAACCTTGAGGGCTGGAATTTCCCTATAAACCAGAGACAGCTCCCGGGGGAGAGGGGGCGGGAATTATAATCATGTTGGCTGCTCAAAGATATAAAGAGTGATCCCAAACCACTGCATGTTCTTTTCTCATAAACAACTCACATCCCAACCACAGTGCTGCCATTCACAGTTTAAACGCCCAAGTCCCCCGTGGCCTACTAGCTGGCCCCAGCCCCAAACATAACCCCTGTGTCTGCTGCATTCTGAGTGACTGGAGGGAGCTGGGTGTGGTGGTGCACGCCTGCAATCCCAGCACTTCAGAGGCTGAAATGGGGAGATCATTAGTTTGAGGCCAGCCTGAGCTGCAGAGTGAGACCCTGCCCCGCAAAATCAAGCCAGAACAGAACACAAGCAGTTTGCTATGTGTCTCAAGGCTTTCAGATCCTCTCTGGAGAAAGAGAATGGCTGCTGGACATTGTCACTGGCTCCAATCTACAGCTGACACATAGCAGATCTGTCGTTAACTTCATGTCCCTCTTCCTCCTTTATCTTTAATCCCCTCCCTGGCTCCCCACCTGTCTGTCTCCGCATCCTTAGGTTACATCCTGCTCTGTACTCTTCACAGCCCTCCACTGGAAAGAACGCAAACATTCACACTTAGCAGCTGCCCTGACCTCCAGGTGTCTGCCTGCAATGTGCCTTCAAGCCACATGTGGTCATCTCCCATCATTAGATGAGAGGTCACCTGAGGACAGGGACTGTGTCTCAGAATCTTTCTTTGTCCGGCATCTAACAATACCTGATACATGTCAGTCCGCAATAAATGTTCGTTAAATGGAGAAATGAATAAATGATGCAAGCAATTCTAAACTTTGCCCAAGACGCGGCAAAGTCCCTAGTCCTTGTAGCCCTCTCCCAAATCCAACTGTTTCCTTGGGAGAGGGAAGGAAAAATCCTAGGGGACTGGAGAGCTTTTTTCCACCTCGCTGCTGGATGGCCTGGGCTGGTGGGACTGGAGCAGGAGCCCCATGGGGCTGGGTGACAGCAGGTTCTCTAACCCCGATGTCAGGTCCCCTGTGTGTCATCAGTCAGCTTCCTCAGACAAAGCCCTGAAGGCACGCACTCCTTCTCTCATTCCACATCTTTTTTATTAAACATAATTGTTTTATTAGTGCATGCTTGCAGCACATAACAATCACAGTTATCGTGAGGGGTTTACAGATGTACCTCACACACATGAACTCTTTCTTTATCCCTTACCTCTCCCTTCCCTTGCTGGCCTTCCAACTTTTATTCTTCTATTTCCAAAAGCTCTACTTCTGGTTTTCTTCATTTCTCCTCTTTATCCTTTTCTCTTTCCCTTTCCCTCTCTCTTTTTTTCCCTTTCTGGTTAAAAAACTTTCCCTATCATCCATTTTTTACTTTGCTCTTTATTTGTATTTTGAGTTTCTCATATAAAAGAAGCCTTGAGATATTTAAAACTTTAAGTCTGATTTTATTTAACATTGTGGTCTTAAGGTACATCCACTTTCCTACAAATGAATAAAGTGTATCATTCTCTGTGGGGCAGAGTGGCATTCCACTGTATGTAAATACTACATTTTCTTTATCCATTCGTCTGTTGATGGACATACAGTATAGGCTGTTTTCAAGAATTAGCTAGTATAAATTGTGCTGTTATAAACATGGTCATGCATGTATCGCCATAATATGATGACATTAACTCTTTTGGGAAGATTCCTACAAGTGGAATTGCTGGGTCCAGTGGAATTTCTATTTCTGTGTTTTAAGGAATCTCCATTCCTTAAATGTTTTACATTCCCACCACCAATGTATAAGTATTCCTTTTCCCCTGTAAACTCACCAGCATTTATTATTTGATTTCTTGGTGACAGCCATTCTTTCTGGAGTAACATGGAATCTCAGTGTTGTTTTAATTTGTATTTCGCTGATGGCCAGCAAGATGGAACATTTTTTTCAATCTTCTTCTTCTGAGCAGTGTTTATTCATTTCAGTTGCCTTCTTTGTAAAAAACAAAAACAAAAACAAATAAAACAAAAAACCTCTATCACATCTTAAAGGAATCCAGGCACCCCAGGTGGCTGCACCTTGGCTGGTGGGAATGCCTTCCTCAGGCTGACATGGAAGTGCATGAGGGCCTGAGGAATTGCAGAAGGAAGTGCTCTCACTGAGCCCCTAAGAAGCTGCCCCTCCTGGGTGGCTGAGTTATAGGGGGCACAGGAGAACACCAAGTGACTCTGTTCAAAGGAAGACATCCCACCTCTTGATCATATCTGAGCAGCCTTTTGAACCTGAACCCCATCACGTCACTTACCTGCTCCAAATTCCTCAGTGGCTTCTTCCAGGAAAATCTGAACCATCTTTATAAGGCATGGAAGCCTTTACGATCTGTCCCTTCCTGCCTGTCCAGCCTCATGCGTGCCTTGCACAAGCTCAGCAATGGCAAACAATTTACCTTCAGATCTACCCAACTCTCACCCCTCGGGGCATTGGCAAACGCTGTTCCTGCCGCCGGGTCCCTGCTTCCTCTGCTGGGTAGATACCTCACAGCCCTTCAGCTTTAAGGCTCGCTCCTCACACAGATTCAGAAGCTCCTCGCAGTTGCTTTTCCTGTCAAATGAAGATAATAACCAAACTTAGAGCACTGGTGGGGAAAAAGAGTCCAAAAAGCACCTGTAGGTGGTTGTGGACACAGGATGGGGTCAGTAAGAAGGGGAATGCAGGGTACATTCACGAGCAGGTCACCTCTGGAGTTGTAGCCTACCAGAAGTCTCTGGGAGGAACTGTATAGAACACCCTCAAAGACCCCCTTAAAGGGAAGGTCCTTCAAATGTATCTACAGCTACCTTTCAAGATCACCTGCTGGTCCTAAGGGGCATCCCTTCCCTGGCACTCGGGTCGCATGTGTGCAAGTTATGATCCTAGGGCCAGGAAGGATGCCCTGGGGCAGAGAGGCCCAGGCGCTGCTCTTAGGTGAGATCGCAAGGCATCTATGCTGTTAACCTCCAGCCCTGCCGCCTACTGTCTGAGAGAGCCTGACTCGTCTAGAAAGTGTGCCATTTGACAAGAAGCTCCCTCAAGTTCCCGTGGTGAGCCAGCCTTCCGTCTGCCCACATCCTCCAAGACTGGGCACCATTAAACTGAGGAGAAAACGAGACTTGTTTTTCCAATCACTGTGTCCTCGGTGCCTACTCAGAGCTCAGAGCACATTAGCCTCTATACACATTGGGTGACTCAGAGGAAAATGTTCAGTGAGGTCGGCAGCAAGGAACCTTGACATTTAGACTCAAACTCGACCAAGGGACTCAAGCAATGGAAGATGATGACTATGCCCGAGCTGCGCGTATGCGCTTTCGGCCTCTGTGTGTAAGATATATTTTCCACTTTCAAACATCGCACATCGGATCCAGAAATAGCGACCTAGAGCAGCTATGAAATTAACTTGTGGGTGTCTTATGAAACCGCGCTGTCCTCTGTCACCTCTGCTCTGGGTGGCCCGGCTCGGCCACGCCCACCTTCTGCCCAGGTGGTGCGGATGCTTCGAGAGGCAGCCTGAAAACTAGATAGGATTTTTATCACAACACACGCTGGTCGGGGCAATCCATCAGCGGACCGACCGGAGGGACGCTGCCCTCCCGCGCAGCATCCCCGCGGAGGGTCCCCCAGAGTTGGGCCCCGCCCACCTGCCCCGGGCCAGGTGAGGGCCCCGGCTCACCTTCTGCAGAAATGCCATCCTCGGCCTGTACTGCTGGCCTTGGTGTCGGATCGTCATCCTGGACCCTGGATGAATTCGCGATCAGAACACAGATGCGAGGGAAGAGGAAAAGCCCCCCGCCGCAGCCGGCAGCCGGGACCGCCCCGCCTGGGCGTCGCCGCGGAGGCGCAGAGCTAGCAGCGCGCAGGACCCGGGCTGCCGCCGGCCGCCCCTCGACTCTCGCTCTCACCCGCCGACTTGCGGAGCAGCTGGAAACCGCGCCAGCCAATCAGCGAGCGGCGCCGCGGGCTCATTAGCATAGGCGGCGCGCGCCCACCTGCCACCAGGGGGCGGCGTCCCGCTCTACGCGGACCCCGCGCATCCTCAGGTGAGACCCGACACTCAGGTGACTTGGACCGCACCTGTAAAGCCTGAGAAAGTGAAAAGAGTGTGGCGACAGACTTCTGATCCCTGCCCACCCTGCCTCCCAGTCACTGAATGGCGCATAGCGCTCCGGAAAAAGAGGGTATGGGCGGCAAGTGACACCTGTCCAGCCGGGGCTGCTGGGGCTGCAGGAGTAACCGAGGTGACAGAAGGCAGGGTCATATGCTTGCCTGTGGGGGTGAAGCATGCTGCTCACCACCCAACAGGCGGATCTGAACTCCGGATTTGCCACCTAGCCAGGTATGGAACCTCTCTAGGCTTCCTCTTTCTCTTCGAGTCAGTGAGAATAACTTCACCTTCTTGCAGGAGGAGGTTTTGTTTGATTGTGGTTTTGGTTTTACGATTACTGAGCTAATGCACGGACAAGCACGTAGAACTATGACTAACAAGTGGTGAATATCCAGTGAAGCATAGTTCATCCTTGGCCTCTTGGGACTCTTCCCCTACCCTCAACTCCAACCCCACCCCTGCGCTAGGAATTGAACCCAATTCTCCAATGCTAAGCACACGCTGTTCTACTGAGCTACATCCCAGCCCCTCCTGGGAACATTTTTTTTTAATTACCATGCCTAAGGGCTAAGCGTGTAGCCCCAGTGGCAGAGAGCTTGCATAGCGTGTGTGAGGTCCAGGGTTTGATCCCTAGCACCACAACGTATAAATAAATAAATGAATAAGTAAGTAAATGAAATTACCATGCCTAGTGATTCCATTACCTGCATATTGTTTAATGTACCATTCCCAGATTAAGATTAGAACTGTTGGAATAGCAAATGGCAGTCAGAATAGAGGCTGTGAAATCAAATTACTTGGGGCCAAATCTCATCTCTGCTACTTACGGTGTGACTTGGGCAAATTATGAATCCTTCTGTGTTTTAGTACCTGCGAAGTGGAGATGGTGCAAAGACAGTGCCTATCTGATGAAGTTGTTAAGATGAGATAAAGGAGAAAAGATTAAATCAGTCCCATTATTGCTATTATTAATATATGAGTAGAATCATTAAAGATAACATGGAAACAGCACAAAATTTGGAACACTGGCTACATCTCTGGCAGGATAAGATCTCCCAGGTCTAACAGTGAGGTCCGTCAGACTCAAGAACAGGCTCACTTTTCCTTTCCAGAGCTGAGTAGCCTAAATGCGGCAGCTAGAGCCATCGTTGGAAGAGGGTAGGTAGGGTTGGTCCTGGGAAGTACACCTGGTAGCTGCCTCTTTGGGACATCTGGATCCCAGTGAGAGAAGCCAAGTTCCTGTCATGCTCTGAGTTACAGCGCTGGAATAACAGTTTCAGAAAGCAGACTCTGAAGTCCAGTTGACTCATAGGGAAATGACTTGGCACGCAGCCGCATGACAGTGCTTCCAGCTTGGCCACCGCCATGCTGTCTGACAGCTGAGAAACTACTGTTTCACCCAGCTCTTCAAATTTATTTTATTCCCAATTTCAAATGCACTGAAGCAGGGAAGCAAAGTAATTTCAAATTTATTTTAAATTGGAGACCTGTGATTGCATTCCTCCATTCTCTTATTTTTCCTTGATTTGGTTAGATTGTGATTATTTTATTATAATGAGATCTTCTGGGTAATGTCATTTACTTAAAGATAAGATTTTTTTAAGTTAAAATCTTAAAATGACCTTGTCATTGGATATTTATGCTTCTTAAATTAGTGGACAAGCTGGGCCTGGTGGTGCAGATTGCAGTCCCAACTATGCAGGAGGCTGAGGCAGGAGAATCATGAATTTGAAATCATCCTGGCAAATTAAAAGGACCCCCATCTGAAAAAAGAAAAGAAAAATAGTTAACACATGTGAGAGGACTGTGTAAACTAGAAAAACTTCAGTTATATGGGATGGCTCCGATTGTACCTACTGGCTTGTGGTAGTTCATTGTGCCCTCTTGTACACCCAAAAATGAGTACATTTGGATGGTCATCCTCACCATGGGAATTTGCTCTTCTTACCAATGACCTAATGAAGTCTGTTTGTTTCCTAGCTGAAGGTACAGCGTGGAGTGGTGGAAAGCAGATATAACTAGGATTCAAGACATCTGGTTTCAGTTGCCAAATCCACTACTGACAATTAGAAGACTTCGGGGAAGCCTCAATCACTTATCAGAGATGTGTCACGCGTCCCCAAGTCTGCGATACCCTCAATGCTTCTCCAACTTTCATGCTCAGATTAGTCTTGGGGGTCTGCTGAGTTGCAGATTCTGATTCAGTGGGGTGAGGCTGGGATTCTGCGTTTGGAACACACTGCCCGTGCTGACGTGAGTCTGAGGAGAAAGAGTCCAAAAGTCAAATGCACTCAGAAGTCCGTGTGTTGGATACACTTATAAGGAAGTGTTTTCTGCCCAAATCCCCATGGCCTCTAGCATACTTCCAAAGAGAATGACTTGAGCACACTGGAAAAGTTTTCAGCAAACTGGTGCAACAAAGGCAAAGGGGGCGGCTAGTTTTCCCGTGCTGACGCACAGTCCCTCCCCACATATATAGAGGATATGTTTTGTTTGTTTGTTTGTTTTGTTTTGTTTTTCTTCTGGTACCAGGAATCAAACTCATGACCTTGAGCTTGCCAGGCAGGCGCTGTGCCACTGAGCTAAATCCCCAGCCCCTAAATAGAGGATATGGCTTGCCATACTTAACCCCCTATGCACAACTCCCTGCGCATCCCCACCCTGCCTCTTGGATCCTATTTTGGGCTATGTGACTTGGCCCATTGACAATCAACCTGTAACATGACCAGATGTCAAAGGATGAAGTGGACCAACCAGATTATCACTCCTAAAAACAGCCAATAACTTGAGTTAGTAGGAGGTAGGCAAATGTGAAAGACCCCAAGTGCAGCCAGGCCCAGGGTGAGACAGAGCCACATGAAAGCTCTAGCTACAAAAGAGACAAACTGCGTGCAGCAAAAAGGACAGCAAGGATGGAACAGCAGCACAGAGCACCGCAGAGGCACCTGGGAGCATCTCAAAATGGAAATGACTGCCACTGACAGCTACTGTTGAGTCACAAAGAGCAAATTCTATCATCCTTAGTTTCTCATGATAGTAATGGGTTACAGATTAGGGTGATGCTGGTGGAATAGTGTGGTTGTGTTTTAGGAAGCCGTTTGTGGACCGCCGCGTACCAGGAAGTGCGTTTGTAGGAACAGTATGACGTATTGCCATCAAATCTTACTTGGTCCTAGTTCACCCCATGCCCGCCCTGGTCTTGACTCCATGTTTAATTTGTTTTCATAGCCCTGGTTTTCAGCATACATCTTACCATTTCATTTTCTACATCTCTTATAGACCTCACAAGCTCAAATGTGAAAAAAGACATTTGGTCTCAATAAATAAATAGATCAAAACCAGGGATGGTGGCACACGCCTGTGATCCCAGCACTTGGGAGGCTGAGGCAGGAGGATCGGTCTAAGCTTGAGACCAGCCTGGGCTACAAAGTGAGCTCAAGGCAAGTGTGAACTGCATAGCGAGACCCTGTCTCAAAAAGACAGTCAATCAATCAATCAATCAATCAATAAATCAGATGAAAAGTAAGTTAAGTGGATCTATGTCTGAATCATCATAACTCCAATTCCTCCTTTTAATCATTATTACAGGCACAGGGGGTTGGGGATTTAGCTCAGCGGCACACCGCCTGCTTGGCAAGCGCAAGGTTGTGAGTTCGATTCCTGGTACCAGAAAAAAACAAAACAAAACAAAACAAAAAAACCCGCATTATTACAGGCACAGAGATAGGTCTCTAGTTGCATGTTCCAGGATTCATCCAAAGCAGTATCTCATTAAAAATCATACCGACCTAGATGATAACATTGACTCACAGCATTTTCATTGTCAAAGACATAAAAGAATGACTCATGCATGAGAAAATAGCACTTGTATCCAAAAGCTCTTGCCAGTCTAAGCTGACATCAGCGTGCTTTCCAGAACTGTCAGTAATGCTCGTGATGAAGCAGAATCCCTTCAGCTAAACTCCAGGGCTAGGGTTTCCAACTTTCATCAGAAGTCACTATAATAACTGGTCTTGCAAATTTCTTTTTGAGAATAAGTCTGATTTTATCCAAAAAGGTAGTCAAAGTATTGTCCATTCTATCTTCCTACCATAAGAGAAAGTGCTTTCAAAGTTCAGTACGAAGAAAAACTCAGTAGTCCATTAAAAAATAAGTTTCCTTTTTTCTGGTTAAGGAAGATGTGTGTTGTATTTCCTTTTTCATCTGAACCATCAAGTCTGGCACTGGGCTTCCATGAAACAGTGAGAATGAATATTTGATGTCTAATATTTCTTTACTGTTCTCCTATTATACATGTGTCATTGCTTTTATTGTCTGGGCTTTTCTCTTTTGGTAAGCCACAAAAACTCCTTTAAAAGGTAACTTGGAGGTAGGCATGGTGGCACATGCCTGTAATCCCAGCACTTGGGAAGATGAGGCAGGAGGATCTCAAGTTTGAAGCTGGCCTGGGCTGCATAGTGAAAACCTGTTTCAAAAACCTATACATTAAAATTTTTAAATTTTTGTAAAACTGGGGATATAAATAAAGATATCTATTATAAATGGGAGTGGCTTGAGGAATTGGACAAGGTAGAGGAAGAAAGGAAAAAAGTGAGTGATCTCTCAGTCTTCAAGATAAATAATCATATTTACCAAACTTCTTTCTCAAACCTGCATGGTTTTATTTTGGTCCCAGATATCGCTAGAGGAAGAACACCTTTTTGAGATGCATCTGGGTTCAGTAGATTTTGCCCATCATGCTATACTTACAAGTCAACTGCTTTGAGCATCTTCAT